CCCCGCCGCGCCGAGCTCGGCTCCCCTGGGGCGCCGGAGCCGCGGCTGAGGGCGCCGCGGGCCAACGAGTGGTGAAGTGCCCGGGGGTAACCCAGGCCAGGATGAAGAGCAGAGCAGGTCGGGGTAGCAGGCACGGGGAGGCCGCAGCTGCTGCTCTGGCACTGAGCTCCTGGGTGTGACCAGCCAGCTCAGCTCCGGTCCGACCAGCCAGGCCTCAGCCCAGCTAGGTGTCTGCTGCAGCGGGGACCAAGGTAAGCAGTGCCCGTGGCTGCTGCAAGGGACAGGCTGAGCGGTGATGCTGTAAGCGCCTGCTCGGAGAGCACTGAGGGGAAGGAGGGCAGTGCCCCTGCTGTCGTGTCATCCTGGCTGTGCAGGGGAGATGGCTCCCAGGTAAGTTCGGGGCTCTGACCAGCTGCTCCAGACCAGGCAGCTTCCTGCAGGCAAACTCCGGGGTTGCTTTAGTGCTGTGTTGAGGGAAGTAAGAGCCCTAGCCTCCTCTGGGGACAGGCACCAGGGTGACGGCACTGGTTTGGGCAGCTGGGAGGGTTACATACTTGCTGGACAGAAACATGAGCACAGCCAGCTTCCAGCAGGTCTTCATGGCAAAGGCCTCCTCCAGCCACTCTATCACTATGCCCAGAGTTTCCTTGCAGGGAGAAACCCTCTCTGCTGCCCCAACGATCTCTAGACTTTCCATGGGCTTCAGATTCCAGCCCTCATGGGTTCCAGTCAGTCCAAACACTTCCTCAGGTCAGCAGCCCGGCTTCCAGGAAAGCCTTTCCCAACATAAGGCACACCTACAACCCAAACTGGCAGGTTCACATTGCAGCTACCCTTCCCACTGCCTCTAGAGGCACTACACATGTGCAGTCAGTGTGATCAACCCAGATCACACAGCATATGCCACTGAATTGACAGCACCCCCTTGTGGAGACATTGCATACATCCAGAGAAGATTACCTACCAATAAGTTCCCAAAAAACCCATGCCAAAGCCTTCTTGTTGGTAGAGCTACCTCTGTGCTATGGCTTTTGCCTGCATAGCCACATTGCCTAGGGGATGGGACCCTTTTTTGCCTATAGCAAATGAAATTATTGTGACAAAACTTTGTAGTGTAGACCTGGTCTGAGTGGACATTAGTGTGCATGTGTCCTTTAGTGTGTCTGAATGCACAGGCATCCAGCCCTCATTTTCTATGATTCTGTGCTATACATACATGTGTGCATATGCACATTTTTATATTATTGGAATCCATGTGCCTGTGAATCTGTGTGAGTGTACAAGTGACAGAGCATGTGTGTACACATGCATGTGAGTTTGTGCATACCCTTACAGTGGGGCAGGATGAAGTTCTTAGTCATTCCTGAATGATTCCCCATGCCGGCCCCTACCTGGAGAGAATGGCACTCCAGAGGCTGTTTCTGAAAGCTCTCACCCAGTATCAGCAGCCAGGCTGGGCAGTGCTTTGCCAAAATCTCTCTAGAGGCAAGTGCTGTGGTACTATGGAAATGGGAGCAGTGCTGTGTTGCTCCTGGGATGGGGTTTGCTGAACCTGCTGCTGACATGGGGAGGGATTTCACTCAGAGTTGCATGATGGCAGAGAATAGCCTTGGGCCCCTGTGTCATATATTCAGTAGGGGCTCCATCCAGTACTACTGGCTGTCCAGTCCTGGTGTCTGATGGTTCCTGCAAGGAACCAGATTGGGACAGTACAAACAGTAGTCCTGGGGGACAAGCTGCACTTGTCCTATACAGAAGAGTGGGCCTTGGGGAATACACTGCAATCTGGCCTGATTTATTCAGAGAGAC